TACGGGGTCTTACCAGGGGAGGAGCACACCAGACCCTCCTCCAGTGGTTTTTTTCTGTATTTTAATCAGGTTAATATACTTCATAAAAAAGGGACTGCAACAGCAACGGAGAAAGATAACCCCTAACCAAAAGTGAGTGCTTGCAGTGTTAGGTGGTGGGGTTGGTTCAACTCATCGTGATTTATGATTTGCAGAGGCCCAAATCCCCCAGGAAAAGCAAAGGAGCAGGGCGGTGATTTACACACCTCACTTGGAGACGATGTATTTCGCTTGTGCCCAAACCGAGGAATGAACTGAGTTCTGGTCTCCTTAGATAAGTAATTAGTTAAGACAGCCAAAATGTTGGCCTTGAGCAAGTGTAGTTCCCTCACTGGGACCACCAGGTTTCATAGCCATGGTGGTATCAGGTCATCCAAATCCCCAGCTGGGGGAAGCCGTGAGGCAGAGAGAGCTGCCGAGAGCAGGACCGGCTGCTCGGGCTGCACCAGGCACCAGCTCTGCAGCAGTTCTGCCCAACTAGGGCTGCGAAGGCCTTACCGCTCAGCTACAACGCAGAAGATGGGCAGTTGCAGCACTCTCTCACTTTTCTTTCGTTCTTTCTTTTCTTTTTTTAATGAATCCTTTCCTAGTTCCTAGACAAAAAGGTTACCAGCATCTTCTTCCAGAGAAAACAGAGAATGAGGATTCCCAAGGAAAAAACCAAACAAAAACCTATCAACAAAACAATCCTTCCATGAAGAGCTGGAAGATGCTCCATTCCATGGATGAAGTGGATTTATGAGACACCCTTGTACTTAGCATTTTCTAACATACAGCTCCTTGAGCAGTGCGTAAGTTGCTCTGGATCTCACCCTGAAGGGCTTAGCTCCACAGGTACTATATGGCTTCTATAGCTTACACATTTTTCTTTGAATGAAATACCCAGTTTTATCTTTGGAATCAAGAACCTAAAAATAAAATTCCACTGCAGCACCTGGCATCACATCCTCACATTTGGTCCTTACTCCCTTTCCTCCATGTTTCCTGCCAGCTGAGTACAACGACCTACTGCCTAGTTAACACTGTGCCATATGAAGGATTTCCCTCTGGGCTGCCTAGGATTGTTTCAACCCATGGTCAGTGCTCAAAGCATTCTTTGAACAGCCAGCTCCTTGTCAACGTACCAGCTGAATGTGAGCAGCTGCTGCTGGTGGAATGCCCTAGCGTTTGTTAGTGTTATCTAATTGCAGTCTCCCAAGAACTCTGTAATTCTCCTCTCACTTCACAGACAGGGAAAGCAAACCAAAAATTAAAGAGGCTCTTTCAAGTTTCTAAAGGACGGGAAGATGAGCAGCCATAGCCTGCTCCATCGGCTCCATTTCTCCAGTTGTGCAGAATGAAAAAACTTGTGTACAGTATCCCTGTGAATTCCTCAGCTTACTGTCATCACATCATCACTTAGTATCACATCATCCAGTCACAGGAGGTGCAATTCATCTCAGCTAACTTTAATATGAGAGTGATTTTTATAGCTGATATGGTCAACCTCAGCTCCCTTTTTAGTCAGTGGAGAAATAGGTGTGACTCATCTAGCCCAGATGTGCTAAATAGAAGGAAGTGAATTGCACCCTGCAAACATCTGCATCTTGACTGACTATAAAACGATAAGGCCAGATCCAGGCACCTACGTTTGGTTGCACAAATGCCATCCTCCATTTTGAGCATGAAAAACAACACAGATACCAGTCACTGGCCCGTTCCCTTTTACACTTCAACTGAGGATGACATCAGCAAAGTCTGGGTGCTTGCTGAAAGCTCAGGAAAGCTTTACAGCTGCAGTTGTCTAATGCCACAGCTGAAAAAATGAAACAAATAAATAAGATGGGGCTATTGAAAACAAAGAAGCTACTGCTTAAGATAAAGACCTTATGTGTGCACTTTCTTTTTTCTTCAGTTTTTCTTACACTAGAGCTGATCCCAAATGCTTTCACAGCAAAACTGATAGAAACACTACAACAACAGGGACATACCTGAAGCTATGCTACTACCCAGGAAACGAAACCCTTCATTTCGGGCAAGGCAGGACAGCAAACAATGAAGCCTTTCTGCACCTTGCAGAAGAACTGACAAGTTTGAGGCAATAAACTTACTACAGGTATGTGTATGTATGTGTGTTTTTACATGATACTCTATTGGAAGCTAGAGGTCATTACATCATCTCTGATCTGGAGGAAGGGGGGATATTTATACTCACTGTCCTTTTGGTGCCACCGCACTGCATGCAGAAACACACCGCAGTAGTGGAACATGAACTCGTGCCCGGAGCGCTGAACTGTCCCCTGCAGCAAAGGCAGCAAGCTGCGCCCGTCGATGACCCTGATGGAGAGGACGGGAGTCACCAGGCTGCTCAGGAATTTCAGTCTGCAGCTGGAGCGTGAGCAGTACTCACTCTCCCTGTATGCAGCATTAGGATTTCAAGTGTCATTTCTAAACCAAGCTACTGTTTAGCTAATGAGCCCTGAGATTTTTAATTGTGCGGATGGGTGGAGACCAGTGATTAGCAGTTAGTAGCAGTTTTTGCAATTACAGCTAGTTCACACATCCTGCCTGGGGAGGTAAGTTACCATTACTGTAATTTTCCTGGGAGCAGGTGATAACCATAGTGAAGGCATTGTTCACAGCTTTTAATTTTGCTCCACTAACTGCATTGAAGATCAGTTGGTTTAGTTACACACCACCGGTACTTTTATGATTTTTGCCCAAATGGCTTAGCCACTCATGCTTTCATGTGTTCTTTAGAGAAGTCTAACAGAGATGCTACAACTTGTTTACTATTGAGGAAGCTACTTCTCTGGTACCAGCAGCCAAATGCAGGCCATGAGCCATTTGATCCACCTTCTCCACTCATGAAGAACCAGGCTTTCTGGTCTTGGAAAGGGCCTGTCCGAGTACTGTAACAGGGCCAACCAGCTTTGTGAATATCTATGAATTTTTATAAAAAGTAAGATTAAAAAAGGGGTTTTTTTTGTGGTGATTTTTTTGATTTTGTTTTTTAGTCATCCCAAGTGTCCCAAATCAACCAGGCTGCCTTTTAGTGATTAGAAAACTGAATTAGCTAAATGACCCTTGATAAAACGTACTGTTTTCCTTTACCTTTTCCATATAAGCAGAGAAAATGGGGAAAGCTACACAGAAAGCAAGCTAGAGAATTTCCTGGTTAAGAAACAAACATAATTTAACCTGTGGCTGTTAGGATGCATCACATATATAGTCAGCTTCTATCTAAATCAAGAAAAGGGAGCAAATGTGGTTCATGAAGCCACCTTTGTACCTGTCCTGAGGCACTGCCCCTCCAGCCAGGTGAACCACAGTTGGGAAAACGTCCATAAGGCTTGTCAGTTCATCAATAACAGTCCCTGCAGGCAACACTCCTGGCCATCTAACTATTCCTGGGACACGGATCCCGCCTTCCCAGCCTCCCATTCCTTTTCCACCTGTTAGAGAAGGGGGGAAAAAATGCCAAAAAATATAAAAGAACGAAAGAGATGTTTATTATGCATGGATAATAAAAGGTTTTAAAACTTTTAGAATATTCAAATAACTTTAATGAAAACACACCAAATCCTGGAGAACGGTAGAAGGACTTACAGTGCAAATTCCATTCTTCAAAAATAAGTATTAATAACCTCTTTATTTTATATTGCTTTCTTGGGTGGCACATAGAGCAACCCACTATTAAGCAGTATTTTTGTCAGAAGAGGAACAATTCCACCCTCTGATGCCTGAGAAGACATTCTGACCCATAACTTTAATTGAATGTCATGTCTGAGAATAATCTCCATACTCCCTAATAACATGCCCAAGAAAAAAGGCTGTTGTTAATAAAAAGCAAAATCTGACTTGGTGTCAATGGAATGTCGGTTGCAGTCACACTTAGTGCCCGAGGAAGGCGGGTTGGCACAGGGCAAACTTGGCTGTCAGACAGTTCACAATCAGAGGCAGCAGGAACGTTACAAAATGATTTGCAGTCCTGGAGAGCAGTGAGGGGAATTAGAATAATGTTTGATCACCCTACGGGAGTTTTCAGTCCCAGGGGTGCTCTGAGGTGGTCCCAAATGGGAGAGTGCAGAACCCGTGCAGTAAATAGCGGAGTGCTCTGAATATGCTGCAGTGATGAAGACTTTCCACCTACATTTCTGCTGAAGTTGTTTTGAGGTAATCCAAAGAGTCTTTCTTAACCTGGTTTCTCTTGCATTCCTCTAGTCTTCTTCTAAATTATCTCCTCCATGCATTGGCTCTCTTACAAGTCAAAATATTCATCGTTTTGAATAGTGTTTCAAAGTGAAAACCATAAACTAATCACAGATATGAGTTATAGATGTCAAGGATGGGGATATTAGTGAAACAATGTGGTTTAAAGCCAGAAAGTTGAGGATCCAGTTAGAAAACAAAAATTGCAAAATGTTGAAGCTCAGGTACCTGTATGAACTGTGCTTGGTTATTCCTCCTATCAAGGGCAAAAATGACAAGTCATTGATGGAAAGTTCTGTAGGAAAACTGGCAAACAAAACTTGACGTTAGCTTCTTAGCTCAGCTAATAAATCAGCACCCGAATGGTAGTTTATACTGTCCTCTGGCTTTGCTAAGTCATGCTGGGCTTTGCTGTGGGGGAGGTGTGTTTATAGTTACAGCTGAGAGGCAAGGATGCCAGAGCTTGGTTTTAAAGGCTGACAGGGTGGCTTGATGGATTATAAACAGGGCAAGTCCAGCTGCCTGTGCAGTAATCTTTGCACTATGCAAGATAAGGGTATCTCATGCTTTGTTATTCACTAGCGGCTGTTCTCATTATTCATACGTGTGGCTTATTTATCTTCTTGTATTCAATAGCCTATTAGCAATAGCAGCAGTGTGTTCTACAGATATTTATGAATTAAACTACATTTTTTAACCTTGATAGTTAGTTTCAGTGGGATGTCCCCTGTTCTGCTGTATGTGGGCATAAATGGGAATGCTTTTCTGTTATTACTGTCTATCTAAACTGATAATATATTTCCTCTCGTCTCCTCTCTAAGCAGGCATGATTTAATCATTGTCCTCTCACACTGAAATCTCTGTCTAATTACATTCACCTTTCCTCTCCAGGCTCTCCTGTTACTAATATACTTGTGTTAGGCTAGTAGAAGTGAATTCCTGAGGTTAGGTTCTGAGCTATTCAAGTGAGCTCGTCAGCCTTTCTGCATCCGCATGGAAGCTTCATATCCAGAACTGAAGGCTAATTTAGCATTTAGGACTGTTCCTGGGTGAGATCCCAACTGTTTCAAACACTGTTTGTGTGGCTCATCAAGTAACTTACTACTAGACAATGTGTATTTTGTTGCTGAGCAAGGTCAAGGCACTCAAATCTTCTTCTGTAGGGTAACAAGTGATGAGAGCAGCTTTCGGGCTTCATTATACAATAAATGACAAGCTGCCCAAGCTGTCACAGTGGCTTTTTGAGGCTTAGCAGTCTGGAGGGAGCACACACAAGACACACTATGGATCTTCATTTCCATAGAGCTTTTGACACTGTGTTAGAAGCCAGTCGTAGAAAAAGAGTCTAGATGAAACATCTATAAGATAGATGAGAAACTGGAAAACTATATCAAGAAAAAAGTCAACATGATATCTGCCAGTGTTGACATAGATAACAGTCTACTGTGAAAAACAGAAGGATGTTTCAAGTGAAACTCCAATCACTGTGTTCTGGATCTGCGTCAGGGGAAGTTCAGACTGGACATTAGGAAAAATTTCTTCACTGAGAGGGTGGTCAGACACTGGAACAGGCTGCCCAGGAAAGTCAAACAGCTTCTTGGACAACGTTCGTAGTCATACAGTTTAGTTTTAAGTAGTCCTGCAAGGAGCAGGGAGTTGGATTCAACAATCCTTATGGGTCCCTTCCAACTTGAGATATTCTGTGATACCACAACATTTTCAGGTAGTGCTTTGTGTTATGGATTAGATAGTATGCTTACAATATTTAAAGACAACATGGAACTAGAAGGGGGTACAAGTGTACTGGAGTCTAAAGAAAGGATGAATGAGGGGGAACATAACAGCATTGAAATAAATACATTATGACCTTGCAACAACAGGCTGTTGCAAGGAGGAAAGGAAGAATCTCTTCTCTGTAGACTGGTGAATAGGGCAAGACCTGTCGCTTAAACTCCAGCCCTGCAATCCAAGATTATAATCCCATTGTATAGTTTAGCAAATGTAGTCTGTCTGGATGTATTTTATTCTATAATTTTCTTTTTTAAGAGGAAGTCTTATGCATGTACACACTAACAAAATTTTACCTTTATAGATCCCATTCCATCCACCCAACCGAGCATTTCCTCTGTGAGCCTCTAAGTATCCTCCATGATCAGATGCAAAATAAATGAATGTGGTATTCTTCAAGCCTTCTTTGTCAATAACATCCAGAAGCCTGCCTATAAACAAAGCAAAACATCATAACTATGCCCAGAGATGCAGTCAAATTTTTTAGGCCTTGACTCAAAATTCAGTGAAGGCTGAGTCTTCCCTTTTAACTGAATGAGTTGTGTTATGAGCTTCCACAAGCAATGCAAAGAGTAATCCTGCATTACAGAAATAGTAAGAGCCCAATGGAGAGCTGCTGAATGTGTCCTAAATTTGTTTGTGGTATCTATAAAAACAGGAAAATAAAAAATAAAACCAATTGGAAAATAATTTAAACTGATGATCCTTTTATTTGAGCTACTGAGAATACTCTGTCAGCTTTATGCTGCAAGTTCTCCAAGTCAAGGACTGTCTCTGTTGTGTAGCCTCAAGCATCTTGAAAAGCTTGAACAATAATGCTGCCTAGATTCCTAATCAGAGAAATCTGCTGTGCCTCACCAGGAACTGAACAGTCACTCTGAGATCAGGCTGCATGCTATCAACCAAAATCTTCTCCTGATGTCAGTGGGAAAACTCCACAGAGTGCAATTCAAACCTAACTTCATAAGGAATGTTTTCACTACTGATAGCATCAAATTTTTATACAGAATATGATTTATCTTTGATTGCTTGTCCTCATCACCTACTGCAGCAAATAATTCATCAAGAACAGCTTCCATAGCTACAGAAGCAGCAGCAAAAGCTGAAGTATGCAAGGAAAAAGCATAAACCAGTGATCCGCTCTATTGCTCAATCTCTTCTTTACAGACTTCCTGTGTCTCCTTGGTCAAACTAATTATTGAACTTACCCAAAAACAGACACTTGCCCCCAAAAAGAGTTTAGATGGAGTCTAGACATCATCTTGGTTCTGAATGAGACCTCAAATCTCTTATTTAGCGTCCAACTCCGGAGACTTCTGTCCTCACTAGCTGCCATCCTGTTTGGTCTATAAAAGGCATGTTCCTTACACCATTGTACTTCTGCTATCCAGCTCTGCTGGTGAAGCCTGTGCCTGAGGGTGACTGGTGCCAAAAAGTTGCAAGAGGAGTATGGCAGAGTCCTCTAGTTCAACTGGATCTCGCAAAGCTCCTCAGCCAGCCCGTCAGAAGCAATGGGGTTTCTCTCAAAATACAACTGGCACTCAGAGCCTAGATTTAGACCTAAGTGAGTCTTCATGATACTCTGACTTCACACAATTTATTAAGTGAAACTCCCTAGCTTTTTAACGTGGCCTTTTGGCTAGGAGGGAGTTCTGACTTCTACTCTGAGGATTATTCTTCAATAAAAACAAACAAGTACACAAAACTACCACTATATAATGTAATATTCAGCAGCAGCACCAGGTATATTTTCTGAGACTAGACAGAGCTGGAAAAAATGTCATACATTTTGATTAACAACACAGTCGAGCACATATTTGATTATTTGACTGCATTTAACACTGCAGCACAGACGTGTGTCAATTAAAAAAAATACAAAGAACAAATCCTCACAAGAAGCCTTTGAGCTTTCATCTTAAGAAAGAAAAAAAGAGGTGTGGTAATGGAATGGCAGTCTCTGGAGCTGACTGTGTATCCAAGGCAAGCTCACTTATTTTTTGTCATAGGAAAAAAGGGAGTTCTGTGACTACCCCTTTAATTTATTTTCCACATTCAAATAAATTCAGGGTTTTCTCCAAGACAACCACTTACCCACCATCCAGTCCATCTCCTCTACATTATCTCCGTATAGGCCATGTCTGCTTCTTCCCTGAAACTCCTCTGTGGTAATGAGAGGGGTGTGAACATGTAAAAGGGAAACAAAGAGAAGAAACGGTCTATGCTTGTTTCTGAAATAAAAGAAAAACAATAGTCATTTCTCTGCAAACTGCCACTCAACCCAAAATATAACAGTGGCATGGTAGTGACTGTCTCAATAAAAATATTATTGGGGCCTAAACTAAAATAAATAAAGAAAGAAACAAATAAATAAATATTTTGACATCTTTGGTTTTTTGAGGTTTTGGGAGACAGAGGGTATTAAAACACCCCTCAAAATCTGGTTCTGTATTAAGACCAAAATAGTAATGGGCACTTTCATTTTCTGTTTCCAAACGAGAAATGTTTAGAACATTAAATAAATAAGTAAGAAAGATCATGCCAAAAGAATGCTACAATCTCAGAGGCAAAGAGAATAGGGCTCGCTCGCTTCAAATTAACATGAGCATCTTAGACATCCTTGTGCAAGAGACAGATATGACACTGCAGCCCCAGGGGAACCACACCCCTTTAACATCAGGCCAGGCAGGATATCCTGAGATTATCTATGCTCAAAGTTTTACAGAAGAGATTTATCTTACCCTCCATTTCCTTTTAAAAAAACTCTGACAGAAATAGTATAATCCTATTCAGGGATATGCCCAGAATTGACACATCAATACTTTTAATGACTTAGGGGCTTGTTCAATGCCAGTGGAAGCTACTGATAGTATTGGAAACGAAGGACACACCCTTGGAGAACAAAACAAAACTCACTATCACCCTCCTGTTTGAATAATTCTAACTTCATATGACACTTCCTATGACAGTCCAGTCATCAGGCTAAGATAATTTTTCTGTTCCTACTGGCAAAAGGCCCAGTCCTTGGCCAGGACCTGTTTGTATTAGGTGAACAAAATATAAACACACACAAAAAAACCATCTTCCTTTTCCTGAGGAGCTGACAAGCTATGTATAAGGTGGACAGCAGTTGGTTGCTGGCAGGTAGGGGAGTGCCAGAAAACAACAAATTATTGGCCAGCATCAGGACGGGCAGGTCAGCATGCCAGCTGCCTAACCTGGTGGCAAATGACACAGCAATCACCTTGTTCTCCAAAATCCTTAAAATGCAATACAATTTTTGTTGGTTACCTTTCAATGAATGAAAATGCCTCCTTCAGGATATTAGAAGTAGTTTTTTCTAAATTCATTGGTTGTTCAGTGATATCATGGTTTCTCATCAGGATACAGTTCCAGTACTTGGTGAAACCATAGCTGGAGAACCAGGAGATGAAATACAGGAGACCACAGATGGCCAGACATATGATTGTTTTCAATTTTATTGAGAAAAAATTGGTAAGTTTTCCAATCAGAAGAGTAAGCACTGCAAGGATGATCATCTGTGTGTAAAGCCAATATGTTTCTTGCAAAGACTTGGCCAGTTCAGGGTCATCTATGCCTTGACACTCATTCAAAAGGGTAAAAGGCATGCCATAAAAATAATCAAAGCCATGATTTAAAGGATGGTGGCAGTGATCACGGCGGGATTTGCAGTTCACACCCAAATGCCACTTCCCTGAAAATATAAAACAAAGATCTTAAATCCAACGTCACTAAAATTGGGAATAAACTTCTTAACACCAATGTAGTTTTAAGAAGCAGACATTCTTTATTATGGCGCCGAATGCATGGGGGATTGCTCTGCCTATCAAGCATACAGACTCATCTCTCCACAAAAGCTTTTATACCATCAAAATATGCATATTCCTTACTTTTCTAAGAAGTCATTAACATATTAATTACATTTCCAGAAAATCATTAATATATGTAAATGTCCCTTTCACATGCGCACTTTCTGGGTCTGGAAGAATGAAAAACTGCCAACTGTAGGAGAAGACCAGGTTCAGGACCACC